TCGAATGCATCAAACAATGCTAAAGGAACCAATCCCGATCGAAAAAGATCAAATCTTGAATCAAAAGCCCAAAATCGGCCAAAAGCCCAACCTGGACCCGCACCTTGAAACCCGATAAAATTTACAAAATTCAATAACCCATTAAATTACGAGTCCAACCATACTAGTTTCACTCAAATCCGACTCCAATTCGGTATTCAAAACTCAAAAATTCATATTATGAAAAAATAGGCCAAAACCCCTAATTTCTTCTATAAACTTCACAATCCAGTTACCAAAAACGAAGGTAGATTCGTGATATAAGATAAAAAATGAGTAGAGAACACTTACCCCAAGTTATGTAAAAAATTTCCTCTCCAAAGTCGCCCAATCCCACCTCCAAAATCTGAAAATGGAGATAGAAACCAAAAACCTCGAATTATAGGTTCTGTCCAGTGATTTCCGTATTTGCAGACAATTCATCGCACCTGTGGCCACCGCTTTTGCGGAAAAATATCGCATCTACGAAAAATGACCTTGCTCAGCAACCCCCGCACCTGCTTCATCAAACTCCGCATCTGCGAAGACACTCGCACCTGCGCATCCGCACCTGCGCCCTTTTCTCCGCTTCTGCGGGCCTCCTCATCCAGCTCTCATCTCGCATCTGCGATGCCTTTGTCATTTCTGCGGCCATCACACCTGCGCAAACCAACCGCAGGTGCGATCATACCAGAACCAGCAACCTTTAGCAATGCAACATGAAGTGAAAATGATCTGAACCTCGTCCAAACTCATCCGAGCCACTCAGGACCCGTCTGAATATACCAACAAGTTCCATAACGCAATACAGACCTACCCGAGGCCTCAAAACACATATAACAACATAAAAATGACGAATTACACCTCAAATCGAAATCTATGAACTTCGAACTTTCAAATTCAATAACTCATGCCGAAATATAGCAAATCAATCCGGAATGACTTCAAATTTTGCGCACAAGTCCCAAATAACATAACGAAACTATTCCAATTCCCGGAATCACAATCCGAATCTGATATCAAAAAGTCCACTCCCGATCAAACTTTTCAAAAAAATCCTATTTTGCCATTTCAAGCCAAATTCCACTACGGACCTCTCAATCACAACCCGGAGGCGCTCCTAAGTCCAAAATTACTCAACCGAACTAACGGAACCATCAAAACTCCGTTCCGGGGTGTAAATTCACAAAAAGTCAAACTTGATCAACTCTCCCAATTTAAAGCTTCAACAATGAAATCCATTCTTCCAATTCGATTTCGAATAACCTGAAAATCAAAACCGACGATTCACATAAGTCATAATGTATCATACAGAGTTATTCATGCCCGTAAACTACCGAGCGAAGTGCAAATGCTCAAAACGACCGGTTGGGTTGTTACAATAGATTATAGAGAACTTTACATAACTGTCACAGTTTAAAAGAAATATAACAAATTATTAGCAGGAAACCCAATATTACAGTTGTGGAAGGAAAATATTTATATTTGTAGCACGCAGTTCCATTATAATAGGAATATTAATTATTAATCCCTAAACATAAGTAATTTGAATGAAAAGTCAATAATTATTTATACAAAAATAATGCCCCTTTTTTTTCTTCTCTTTATCTATTAGCTTTCCTTATTTTTCTTCATCTTCTTAATTTTGTTTTCTACCGAAGCCAATATATTTTCTAAATTTATTCCATTCATTTTTTTAATTATCTTTCTTAAGTTTTTCTCTTCGTTCTTTCTTCCTTTCTTAACATAAAGATCTTATTTCGATAATAATATATGTTAATATATACAAAACGTATATATAAGAAATATACATTGAATTAAAACATATAAAATATACAAAAAATAAACATAAAAAATACATCTTCAATTAAGATGATACTTAGACATGAGAAATACATACACACACACATACATACATACATATATATATATATATATATATATATATATATTAAATTTAATTAGGATAGCATATAAATATACAAAAAATATACATAAAAAATACATCTTGAATTAAAATGGCACTTGACATATAAAATATATTTGAAATATATATTAAAAATACATCTTAAAATAAGAAGGCACTTCACAAATAAATATACAACAATTATATATATATAAATACATTTTCAATTAAAGTGATACTTGATATACAAAGTATAAAAGACAATACATCTTGAATTTAGGTGGCATTCACATATGCATAAGATTTTCAAAAATGGAGTGAAAAAGATGAATGTTAGAAATGGAGAATGGAGATGGACAAAAAAAGTACTTCTTGTGATTTGTGAGTCAGTTAGTTATTAAATGCAGAGCTTAATTTTTATAATATGCTAATAATAAAAAATAAAGTATTCTTTATGGAATAAATAATAAATGATGCTATTTTTAAAAAAATAATAGTTAAAAAAGGATCAAGCGTGTAAAAAACTCTAGATTATAGAGTGGGTGGGAGGGGGCTTGTGTTGGGCTTGAAGGGAATGCTAGGCCCATACGAAAGGAAGATTTTCCGGTCCCAACCCATTCGACACAATTGCACGTCAAAATAGCGTGGGTTGGCCAGATTTGGAATTGGTAACTAAAAAATAGCTAATGTTTGTAATTTAATTGAAAAATAGTCGCTATTTAATACAGAGTAAAATTTAAATAAAAATATACATAATCCATCCAATCTCTCTTGCGCCATGGTTAATTTTAAGTAAGATTTTATCAATTTTAATTTTAAAAAATATCTTTTAAATTTCTAGTTTGTGGTCGAGGGTGGCCAGAGGCAACTGTTACATGAACTTTTATCATTATTCTACGAGCAATATAAGTATTTGGAAAAGAATCAAGTCTTTTTATGTGATTGAGTATATCGATTAGAATACTATCATCTCTTTCTTTTGGGATTGTATCAAAGATTCAACTTCTTTTTTTCTTTAAGTTTTGAATAACCGGATTCATACTTTCTATTTGACATATTTAAATTTTAATAAATATTAAAAGGATAATATATGCATATGTATTGAAAATATTAAGAGAAACAAACATTACATGAAAACTATTACTAGTTCAAATAGAAAAACCTGATTCATTAATTTGATGTAAAATTAAATATTTATTGCTTTCAATATACTTTTCGTAGGCCCACATTTTGTCCCGTTTAGGCCCGTCCCGCCACGGTCCTGTTGGACGCCATATATTAAGACCACATAAACATTAGCAAAGAAAATTATTCCTCTTTGTAGACCACGTGGTTTGGTAATTTTTGCAAGTTGCAATGCTGCCCACATGAGCTCATCCATTCGTAATCACAATTCACATGCACTGTTTTGGGAAAGATGGTAAACAAAGAATCTTTCTATTTATAGGAAGTCACATATTTATTTTTAAAATTTTGAAATACTACTCTCTTTAATTTCCCACACCCATCTCAGAGTTGGAGATTAGTCATTAAGCATCTTCCTTCTTGAAGTTGGAAAACAAGCATATAGTTTATGCCTTACATCATATGCTTTTCTATTTCCTAAGAAAATTAAGATTTCCAATGCTACATATAAAAAAGCAGTGCACAAAGACATCTTGTGTTTATGCAAGGTCTTGGGAAAGATCGCATCCCCAGAGGTCATGTGATGCAGACAACATACCCTAATATAAATATTAATAGCTGCTTCTACGGCTCGAACCCGCGTTGCATAGATCACACAAAGACAATCCAAGGCGCTACATATACTAACAAAGAAAGCCTAATTGCACACTAGTCAATCTTCTGGGGTTAAACAATTACTTCTTGAAAAATAAGATGTTTTTTTTTGTATGCAAGATTCGGATATGCTCCTCAAATTGCAAAGGTTATATTGATCCATTTTCTCACAATCCAATGAACTACATGAACCTAATCTAACTTCTTTTGCTCATTACTAGGGTCTACATTCTTGAACTTGACTACTATAATATAAACTAACTATTGCCTGAAAATAAAGGTTATTTACGTTGTAAAGATAAACGATAAGAGTGCTAAAAGATTTTCATGTCGTTATTTTTTTTAGTTGTATGTGAGAAATGAACATTTCATCTTTTCATTTTCTAGTTGAAGTGTTTGTCTATTTTATTAATGCTACCAATTGAATAGTGGTGAGCACCCTCCACTTCCAACCAAGAGATTGTGAGTTCGAGTCACCCCAAAAGCAAGGTGAGGAGTTCTTGTAGGGAGGAGCCGAGGGTCTATCGGAAACAGCCTCTCTACCTCAGGGTAGGTGTAAGGTCTGCGTACACACTACCCTCCCCAAACCCCACTAATAGAATTATACTAGCTTGTTGTTGTTGTTTGTTGTTTTACCAATTGAATAGGTACAGTTGGAGCCAACGACCCTCTATAATAGTGAGAGGGAAAAGGTGCAAACTAATCTATGCTTTATGCGGGGAAAAAAAAAATTATAGAAGGAAATTAATTTTAGGAGTGCTTCCAAGTTCCAATTAATAGGTACAGTTGGAGCCAACCACCCTATATCATACTAGGTATGTCATTTCTTTCTTGTAGTTTCCTTTCCTTTTTTTTATTTTT